CTTCTTTTCTTTCCAGCTCCAGCTCAGCCCCCTCTTCCTTCCACACTAGTCCTCGCATCTTGAACTGCTGAGCTTATAATCAAGAGAGGATTGATGAGGAGGGAAGGGCCGTGGGACACGCGTGGGACACAGGTCAGAGAAAAAGACAAAATGCTTGACATCATTCTGAAGCTTGCAGATTGGCTTCACCTACATTATATGATTATCGCTGTTTCTAGATAAGAAAACTGTGCCCCAGAGATAAGAAGTGATTGATTCGTCCAGGATCATGGGGCTAATACATGTCAGGACAGGGACTTGAATCTAGATTTTCTTTATGCAAAAGACGAAGGCATAAGCCAGCACTCATATTGTTAATATATTAGAAGCATTTGTTCCTTTAAGTATACCGTGATTACGTTGCTAGACTTGTAATTATGGCTTTTTCTAGGAAGATTAGTGCTCTATAAATATTAACTCTCATTATTATTGTTATTACTACTTCTAAAGTTATAGGCTGCGTAGCTCAATAAGTACCTTGTCTCTTAAGTAAATAAAATATTTTCCACACCCTCTGGAAGCAGAGAAAACAATTACATAAACATACAGATGAAATGTCATAGTGTGGATTCTGCTTTGTCAAAGTACAGAAAGCTGTGCTCTGAAACTTGAGCATATATCACAGTCACCGGGGCAGCTTGTCAGTACGCAGATCCCTGAGCCCTGAACTTCAAGCATGTGAATGTGTAACAAGTTCCTGAAGAACTTTGATGTCACTGGCCTGACACCACCCTTCAGAAGCTGGAATTACTTCTATATGGGAGGGCCAGAGAAGATAAGGTAGACATGAGACTCAGACAAAGCTAGAAGAATTAAGAAGAGTTTGCCTATCAGGATGGCATTCCAGATAGACAGAATAGAGTGCTTAAACATATGGGTAGGTAAAAGAGTACATAGGGGGCCTCCTGGTGGCACCGGGATTAAAGTCTCAGTGCTACAAAGCTACCGCCAGCCACTGAGGCATGAGTTCGATCCCCGAGTAGGGAGCTACCCACATGGCGCAGCAGACCTCTCCTGTCTTGCCAGCTGCTCCCCTCAGCAGTGCATGTCAATCAGTCTTCCTGTTCTGCTCCCCACTCTGTCTCTGGCGAATCCTCTCACCTCCCATACCTCTAGCCTATACCTCAGTTCTTGTATGCATAAATAAAATAAATCTTTAAAAAAAAAAAAGAATACAAAGGGCAACCACAAGAAATTTGCTATTGCCACATTCCAAGAAGTAGTGGATGATGGTGAGAGTGAGTCTGAGCTCATGAAGGACTTCATATGCCATATTAAGTCACGTGGTATTTGCCCTCTGGTCTTTGCAGAGCCATTGAAAGATTTGAAACAAAGAAGCACCTTAGTCAAACTGGCATTTTAGAAAGCTAATTAATGCTAACATAACTAACTACCCCACTACCTACCTTAATATGAACGAACTCCTTTGAAAGTCTATAATCTGATGCCCAGGGATTGGTCAGATGTGTATCCATCTTGTTAGTTCAGTCAAGATGTATGGTCCACAAGTTACTGGGCTATGTAATTCCAGAGATGCTATCCTTTCCCTTAGGTACGTTTTGGAGCCAACACCAACACATAGGAACAGTAGAGCACAAGGCCAAGCTGTATTTTACCATGTGCAGAAAAGAGAGAGGTCAATAAGGGTTTGGCAGAGAAGGTAGAACACAAGCTGACCTTGAAGAACAGTGGCATTGGTTTAGCCCAAGGACATTACTGCAGGCAAGGAGGATCCTGGAGTAAAGGCAGAAGGGGAACTAAACTTTAAACGCGTAGGGAATGGAAGATGTGGGTAAACCTTTCGGCAGGTACTGTTCTGGAAACAGGAAGGCGGAGTAGAAAATCTTGGATCAAAAAGACTAAGTCTATAAGGAATAACTCCTGGAAAATGGTTAGAAAGAGATTAAGTTAGGACAACATAGAGATAGGAAATAGCATGCTTCTCAACCAACTGCAAGCCCCTCCTCCGAGTTCATCACCCAAGAAATAGGAATTTAGGGGATAGGGTACAAAGATTTGGGTTGGGGGTAAGAAATGGGGAAGATGCATTGGGCTTTGATTCTGGCACCAAAATGACAGTATTTGCCACCCCCAGGAGCTGGTCATTGTCCTGCGAATGAGGTGGGTTGGTGATCTGACAGTTCTTATAAAAGGCCATCTGTCCTGTGAGCTGGGATGAGAGCCTGGGAAGCTTTCCTTTTCAGCTCCCAGATGGTAACTCATTCACTCCTGCAAGAGGGGCTTTCTGGGTCATTTGCTTAGTCCCAAATTTGCAAATGTGAGAACATTTTGCACATTTCTTCTATGAATTGTGTTTCCTCTGCACCCCATTCACATCACATCCTCTTTACAGTATTCCCTTAAGTTTTATCTTCTATCCAAAGAGCACTGCTTATACTTATTGAAACAAACCCAGACATTGGTTTTTTTCTCATGTCTTTATAAAGAACAATGCATTTGACCACAGCGTAGATGAGAATCACTGCCTGTATTCTTATGATAATCCAAAACTTCCATTTTGGGCCAACACATCATCCTTTTTTATTGTTTCTTTTATTTCCACTACCAGGAGCAGCACTGACTTTTTCTTCAGGGCCTTTATTCCCAAGGAATTAAAATTAATCCCTTACAAAAGTGCTTTCCAATTTGATCTTGGGTAGAGAAGCAAAGTTGGTTGAGGCTGTGGACAGGGCTAGCCGAGCCCGTGACTCAGCCCCACACCATCCGGGCAGTCTGTGCTGTTCAAATGTAAACCTTATCAAAATAAAGCTTCCTGCTCACTGGGGACCTTTGAGGTCATGTAGAAAGAGATGGTGATTTGCACGCCTGGCTTTGGCGTGGGATGTGGCCTTTAGGATGCATGTGCCTGGAAACACATAACAGCTCCCAGTTTAATCAAATATTTATCACTAAGCCCCATAAGCAACCATACTGAATTTATCATTAACTCTGTTTAAACACAATCAATCTTAAATTTCCTCTTTCTAAAATTTTGCCTTGGAAGAAAACCAAAAAGGAGAGAGGGTAAGACTTTGCCAAGGGGTGCTTCATGGGGCACATGGCAGGCGAAACAAAAGGCCCAATTTTAATTGAATTAGAGACTGTGTAATTATTTAACCTGTACCAGCTGGTCTCAAGAAGCTACCAGATTCCTTAGAGAGCTTGTACTTGGCCAGAAACATAAGGTGCTTTATTAGTAACAAGAAAAATGCTTTCTGTACCTGTTACCCCTGACTCCTCCTAAAGAATATAATGCAGAAGGAAAAAAAAAATCCTTGAAGTTAATCTTTGGCATAAGAGGCAGTCTCCCCCACCCCACTGAGTATGTCAGGAGATTTGCTCCAGCACCTGTACTCTGAGGGACAGCCAACATAAACAGGATGTTATTGCATCAGACAGGTAAGAGTAATTTCTCTAATTAGTCATTTGAGATTTCATTTCTCACTTGGAAGGACTGGAAATTTAATTTGTTTGTGACGTGCAATTGGCAAACTGACAGTAGCTACAACTGCCCCTCTCTCTGTCTTGCTGTCCTGATCCTGTGTGGAAAGCGCTGTGGGATGGGGGTGCTTTCAATGCAGACATTTTGCTTCATCTATCAACATCAAGCTAAATAAAGCACCTTCTTATTGACAAATGGGTCCCAATTGCCCTGTCCTCGCCTGTAATGCTAGAATAATCCTAATGAGTTTCTTGGGATCATTCTTCTTTCAGATCAAATTCTTTTTTCCTCAAGCCCCCCAATTTTGAAACCGGGAAGCATTTCGTAATACATACTCACTGACGTCAAAATATTGTTCTTAAAGATACAGAGCAAAGTGTTTTTTGGGAGCTGCATTTTATGAATTAAAGTATGATTGAAGATAGTTCCTGACCTGGCCTTTGGTTAAAGAAAGAGTTCATCCTTTTTTTTTGGTTTAAAAGACGATGCTCTAGAGAAAGATTGATTGGCATCCAATGGAGTCCCCATAAATCACAGCTATTGATTTTACATTTGTTTTAGCGCTTCTGCTTTTATGCCCCCTATGTCATAATTTGTTATCCTGATAGCCAGCCCCTCAGTTGGTGCTGGGAATGCGCCTGCAAGGTGGTTTCCTTCAGTTCTAGCTAATCTATACATGAGACAGATGAGCTTTCAAACACGGGACCTTGCTTCTCTCACTTGTGTTACCTTGCCCTGGTATTTATCATGACAATTACAGACACCACACAGTACAATCAGTGGTAACCTTAGGACACAGGCATCATCCTACCAGCCTCGACCCAGCTCCTGCTGCCCTGGGTTCTGAGGGCAACTGAATGCTCCTCCCTTGGCTTTTCATATATAGATTCACTCTTGGAATTCAGAATGCAGGGCTTCCCTGGTGGCTCAAGGGGTTAAGACACAACCTATGAAGCTGTCCACAGCCACTGCAGCCCGAGTTCGATCCCCAACTGGGGAGCTACCCACATGGAGCAGCAGACCTCTCCTCACTTGCCCACTGCTCTCTTCACCAGTGTATTTCGGTCAATCCACCTGTTCTGTTCCCCACTCTGTCTCTGGTGAATCCTCTCACCCCCCACACCTCTGGCCTGTACCCCAGTTCTTGGATGAATAATAAATCTTTAAAAAAAATTCAGAACGCAGACATTTGGGCCATCTTCTGATAATTCTCAAGCTCAGAAAATTCTTCTATCTCCCCCAAACTAGCAGAAGTGATGGGAGTAGAAAGTCTCCTGGTCACACCCACCCTGTTGGCCCAGTTTTTACTCTGCACCTGCCTCACACTCATGAGCCAAACTTGGGAGGCTCCCAGGGTCCCTTGCAGCCCTTCAGGGTTGTATTTGATTGACTTTCTGGATAGACATGTTGTGCTCAAGCACCACTTCCTGTATTTTGATTTTCTAGCCAATGTGAATAAATGTATGCTCTTTTATTAAGCTGTTATTTTACACCCTTTCTCCTTTGGCTTCCCATTCAGTATTCAGTTACATCACTGAAGACCATCCCAGAACTGTGCCGAAGATGTGACACGCAAAATGAAGACAGATCAGGTAGGGTCCCTCCTCCCTTCCTATCCCCTCCCCTCCTGCTGAGAGTGGGGGGCTCCTGGAAGCAGCCCCCCTCACTTTGTGATTGCTCCTGTTTGCTGTTTTCTTTATCTCATATGACTTCTCCACTCACCCCACCCCAGTACGCTCTACAAACAGATGTCAGGTCACCCTCCAAAGGCTCACAGGACAGGGAGGCCCTAATGAGGACCGTGTACAAATAAAAGGATGATCATCACAGCAGCCCCAAACCGCAGTATACACAGCAATTTACTGAAAACCCGAGAAACCATTGGTGACAAAACATAATGATGCAGGCGCCAATGAAAAAATGTTGGATGCATTTGCTCCCCATATGGTGAGGACCAGCTTGGGGGATGGTGCTTTGCCAAAGCCTGAAACCCTATCGGGGATGCGACATGATAGAATCTGCAATAAGGCATACTGTAACAGTTAAGATGAAAGCGAAGCTTTGGAGTTTAATAGTGTAAACTAAACAGAGAATTATGGCATAGAGATGAAAACCAGCTGGTTGACCTTTTCTCCTGACACTCCACCCCCACTCTTGACAAAAAAAAAGTACATTCAGGGTTGTTTTTCCCTCTGCAAATCAAATTAAACCTCTCTCCTTTTCTCTCTGTGATGGGCAAAATGAAAATTAAAAAAAATAAAAGGGTATTGATGGGAATGATACCAGGGTATTAAACTATGAAATGATGTTTACTATTTTACTAAGTAATTACTCTAAGGCATCACCATTAACCTTGCCAAACCCCGAACCCCTCTGACAGTAACTGGAGTCTTGAGAACTATGGGTGATGGAAGGCTTAAGATAATCCTCCAATTATGTGTATCGCCTTTAAAAATAAATAGCTGTTCCTTACCTACGCAGCTACTAGAATGCTAGGCCTTTCTAACTCAGAGGACTCCTACAAAGCTAATTGACTTTTCTCCTGGACTGTTTGTTTTCTTTTGACATTTTGCTTAGATGAGACAGGGAAAATAATTAATCTCTCTAGGTTTATTTATCTCTGTGGTTTTCGTGTGAGTGAAAGTCATGGTTTGATTTGGGGTCCAAAATATCATAGAAAAGAGTTTTAAGTTCCAATGCAACTTTTCGTTTACCTGCAATTTTTGATTATTTAGTTTTTGGTTTCACACACATTCAAGCTTCTAGTAGGTTGAACAGAGACTTTGCCCACAGGGCTTATCAGGACCTGTCTTCAAGGGGCGCCTCTGGCTCAAAGCTGAACCCCTGCTTTCATCAGTGATAGGGCCTCCTGCCTCAGGCTCACAAAGACCTGCTTTAGGTTCAAGTTCAGCCATTTATCAGCTCTTCAACTTGGAACTTATGACTAGCTCTCTGTCAAATAAAAAGGAAACTTGTCCTACCTATGATATCAGTCTGTTGTTGGGATCAAAATTAGTGATGTGTCTGAAGGCATTTTGTAAAGGCAAGATTTTCTTTTTTCTTTCACTGAGTGGTGGTGGAGGGGCAGTGGTAACAATGAAGAAATAATAGTAAACACTTCAGACTAGAGGCTCTTGTTAGCACATTACTGATGTTAACTCAATGAATCTCAAAATCCCTGTGAGCAGAGTACTATTAGGAGGATTATATTATAGATGGGCAAACTGGGGGGCAAAGCAGAGAAGTTAAGTCACACAGCACGGCCTCTCTGGTGGTGCAAGGGGTTAAGCACAGCGCTGTGAAGCTATCTGCAGCCAGTGCAGCACAAGTTTCATCCCCAGCCAGGGAGCTACCCACAAGGTGCAGCAGACCTCTCCTGACTCGCCCACTGCTCCCTTCAGCAGTGTATTTCAGTCATTCTGCCTGTTCTGCTCCCCACTCTGTCTCTGGTGAATCCTCTCATCCTCCCAACCCACGCCTCTGGCCTGTACCCTAGTTCTTGTATGCATAATAAATAAATCTTAAAAAAAAAAAAAACAACAACAAAGTTGCACAGCAGTTAAGTTGTGGAGCTAGGATTCAAAGCTCAAGAAGTAGGTGTCTAAAATCTCTCCTCTTACCCATTATATCTACTTCTCTGATAGCTGGACTCAGTGGCAATAACATAAAATAGTATCCCTTTAAGCCACCATTTTCTTTCATTGACTAAGGCGAATTTCTTCTCTGCTAAATAGCTACTCTTGCTCACCAAGTTAAGTGAATTAACGGAAGCCTTTAAAAATAACTTTTTTCTGGGACTGGTTCCTTCCTTTTTCTCCAGATCTTGTGACTTCCACCCACTTTCACAATAATTGATGTTAGCATTTCTTCTGTGGCTAAGAAGACCAGTTTGAAATTCAGAAACTTCACCCAGAGCAAATACCTGGGGCTCAAGGTGATCAACAATAATTAGACGTGTATGACCACTCCCCCATTTGATGGCCCATTTGGAGACTGGCTCATAATGATCCTAGGGAAGGCAGCACATGGGAAAAGTCATATTTCCAGAGCATTGCTGTCCAGTTATCTGCAGGCTCTTTTGAAAGAAATCACAGCACAGTGGAGTTTTCACCCCCATTTTCTGAAAGAATTGATGGATTCTCCAAAGTTCCATGTTTTGCAGATGTAGAATACCCCGTATTTGCCAGTCTGTCTTGTGTCAGCCACCTGGAGTTCACTCCAGGAATGCTAAAAATTTCCATCTGTGTGGCTGATTTTCAAACAGGTGGCAACAAAAGACACACTGGTTTCTTTTTTTTTAATTTAATTTATTTTATTTATAAGTATTTTACCTCATTGTTTATTTCTGTACAATGTGTGCTCTCTCCTCTGAGGTATAGTCCCTGTAAAATTCCCACTACCAGTTCACCCGTGCGCCATCACCATAGTCCAAGACACTGGTTTCTGAGAAGAGGTTGTATCTTCTTTTGGAAGAAGATACCCCCTGGGGATATTTTTTCCCAAGACCACCTGCCACTTAGAATAGACTCTACCACATAGACCTTTCTCTTTACCTAAGCCTTGTCAAGCATTTAGTACCTTGTGTGGGTTGTCAAAAGTTAACATCTATCTTTGTACAAGTCTTTGACCAGATGTTCTTGGGACGATTTATGCATCTGTTCCTTCATGCAGCAACTATATGTTAAATGTTCTATATCCTAGGGCATAAGGACAGGACAAGGAGCAAGAGGTAGACATAGTCCCTTTTTCAGAGTGCTTACCTTCTGGGGACGACAGAAGTTACACATGTGAATCTTGAATAAATAAAGCAGATCATTTCAGACAGTGTTAAGAGGTGACATGAGGCACTGCGATAGAGTAAATTGTGGGAGTTAGGGAGGAAAAGGAGTTTGGGGGCTCAGGCAGTGTTAGAAGGACCCAGCCAAGTGAAAACCAACAGTGTTGAAGGCAGAGGAAGTAGCAAGTACCAAGGGTGAAGTTCCTGGGCCAGGAATGAGATGAACGTGTGAGAAAGTGAAAGAAAACCAACATAGCCGCAGCGTGGTCATCATGGAGGGGGTGCGGTCAGGGAGGTGGGCTCTGTAGAGCCCTGTTGACCACAGTCTTCAGAGTCATGACTTATGCTAAGTGCAGTGAAGGGCATTGCCTGCAGGAGTGCAGTTTTTCTAGCATCCTATTGCCTGGAAAGAAGCCTTGATATGTAGAATCATAACTCTCATTAGAAAAAGGGAGCGTAGGGCCTCCCTGGTGGCGCAAGGGGTTAAGTCAGCACTGTGAGGCTGTCCGCAGTCACTGCAGCACGAGTTCGATCCCCGGCCAGGGAGCTGACCCTCAAGGTTGCCTGCTGATCTCCTCAGCAGTGTATTTCAGTACATCTGCCTGATCTGTTCCCTACTCTGTCTCTGGTGAATCCTCTCATCCCCCACACCTCTGGCCTGTACCCCAGTTCTTGTATGCATAAATAAATCTTTAAAAAAAATTTTAAAAAAAGGCAAACAAGATAAATAAACGTATGCAGTCCTCAGTCCCTGTGACCCTGAGGGCCATCTCCATTATCCTGACCATGGACTCCCAGTCTGCTCTTGACCACTTCAGTGAGGGGACTCACGCGCTCATCGTCAGCCCATCCATAAAGGTTACTTTTTTAAATTCAGCCAATAGCAGTGACCCTTGAATTTCCTCCTTCAATCCTGGTTCTTCCTTAGGAGCCATAGAGAAGGACTGTCCCCTGTGGGTGAGTGTCTGGAGATGGCAGTCACCCTTGGTATTGTCTCCTGGTTGAGTGCCCCTTCCCCCACATCAGTGTATCCTGTTCGCTCTTGCTCTCTCGTGAATGGTGATGTAATGGCACCCCTCTGGCTGGAGCCCTCAGAACGAGACCAGACCCACAGGTCCACCGTCAGGACTGACCACATTCCCTTCCTGTCCTCCCACGGGCCTCCCAAGCCAAAACTCGTACCTTCCCTTTCTCCCAGTTTTTCAAGTGTTCTGAGAAGAGCAGGGCTTTCCTAGGAGTCCTGTTGGTGGGCCCTTAGAAGCTCCTCTGTGATGCACAGCCCTGGGTTCACCCCACTTCTTCCCTAGCCCCTTGGCCAGCTACACAGTGGACTCCCAGGAAGCAGAGCAGTGCTGGGTGTGAGACGGGTGCCTTACCAGTGCCCATGTGTTCCCAACATAGGCCAAGGCATTGGTTCCCACTGAAATCTCTGTTTTCCCCTGGCAGGGGTAATATTTTAAACTGATTAAACTACACTATGGCTGGGTGTCAACTTTTTGAAAGAAAGGTGTTGAAAGACAGGAAGTATTGGAGGGACTGATACCACAAGAAGGCAGGAGGGAGGTGAAGCCCTGGGAACTGGAAGGCTGAGAACAAACTTGGCTTGGTTAGGAGCTTCCCATGTGCGCTTGAGACTTCGAGTTACTTCTGAGGTGCTCCAGTGCCAAGCTCAATGCGGGTCCTCTGTAGACTTGTTTGTCCTCAAAAGAATTCTGAGTGAGGACCATTTTACGTCCATTTTCCTCATGACAAAAGTGAGGCTAACAGAGGGTAAAAGAGTTGCCCAAAGTTGTGGAGCTGCCCCATGCCCTTGAA